AGTGCTCGGACCACGGGGGCAACTCTGCAGATGGAGAGTAGGGATGGCTTTGGGATATATTTTGGAGGTTGATTTGAGATGACTTATTAAAGGGTGGGATGGGCATGAGCAGAGTAAAAGGGAAGGACCAGGTCTCAATTGTTGGAAGTGCTACTGATTGAGATGGAAAAGACTGGGGTAGAAACCAGGCTGGCCAGGGAAAGGGAAGGGTGCTGTGAACAACCACGAGCTCCCTGCTCACATGTTGCAACCGTGATGCCTATTGGACACCCGCATGAAAAGCTCAAGCAGCCTGTGGGATAAATAAGTCTGGCCTTGGAGGCGATGTCCAGGCTGAAGGCAGAATGGTGGCAGCTGTCAGCCAAGGTTTAACAAGATGGGCCAGAATGAGATCACCTGAGGGAAGACTATGGATGCTAAGGGAACAGTTAGTCGACACATTTTTATTGTGGACTCATTTTGTGCAAGGCATACGCCTAGTTTTTGTGGGCAAACAAATGTGTAAGACAAAGCCCTTATCCTCAAGAAACTTACGTTATGGACGTGAGAAAAAAAAAAGCACATTAAGGTGAAAGAAAATGTCAAAAGAATGGACAGACAATTTATTAGTCCAAAGAGGAATTACTATGGGCCTTGAGAATAAGAGTCACTTTGTGATGATGATGGTAGTCTAAGGACCATAGATGGGAGCAGGGGCTGGACGGGGATTCAGGGAGTGTGAAACTTCAGAACTGGATGGTTTGTAAATATGTATTTTTTTTTGAAAGAGAATTGTCAAGTAATCAAAGGAGTTTGTGAATCAAAAAAGAGAGACCAATTTGCTCTTGGTCTTAAAAAGATTGGTTAAATTATAGAAGGTACAGAGAAGGAGGAAGGCTATTTCAGGAAGTGGAAACAGTCCAAAAGAAGCATTCTGAGAGCAAAAAAATGCAAGGCAGCCTTGGAAATGGTTGGGATTTATGTAGAGCAGAGGAGAAACGGAAGCTGGGAAATAGGTGGGGACTGAAATGAGGACAATCTTCAATGAAAACTAAGGAGATTGGACTTTCTCCTACAGACTGTGGCGAATCATTGGATTCAGTTCAACTTAAAAATATTGAGCATCTGATACTTGTAAAGCAATGGGTAGTGTTCTGATTGGGGGGGTAGGGATGAAAAATCCTCCTGGAGGGTGAGAAGGGTTAAAATTTCTGCACAGCATAGCATAGTTGCAGTAATTAACATTTATTTAGTGTCCACTAAGGGCCAGCCCAGGACTAAGTGCTTAAAAGGGACTATCTAATTTAATGCTCACAATCCTACCGAGATGGACCTATCTGGGTAAAGGGAAGTTAAGTTACTTCTCCTTAGCTACACAGCTAGGGAAGGTAGAGTCCAACCCAGGCAGTGTAACTCCAGTGCCCAAGCTCTGGAACATGGGGTTGGCTGGCCCACATTATCCGGGTCACTGCTGCAGCCAGAGATGGCCATGAGCCCACGCTTCTCATGGGGTGCTGACGCCTCTGGAGACAGCTTGGAGTTTGCCAAGCGGTAGGTGAAGTGATAAAATAAATATTGCATGTACTTTTATAAACTACCAGCTTTATTTCAAGATTTGAAAAAAAATATGAAAATAGATATGGGTATATTATGATTGTAAGAATCACATGAATTTTTAATGAATGTGTTGTATAACATATGTGTAGCGCAGCAAACAGGCACAAGCATACAGCTCGACACTCTTTCACAGACCTCACACGCCCACAGAAACACCTCCGGGCGCAGAAGCCCTCCTGAGACCCCACTGCCGCTTCTCTGACGCGAGCACCAGAGGGCCACTATCCTGACTCCAACCCCAGCGATGACTTTGTCTTGTTTTAGATTTTTGTATAAATAGAATCATATAGTGTCTTCTCTTTGCAGCTGTTTTCTTTTTCCTAACATTATGTTTGTGAGACTCATCTATACCTTTGCATGTGGTAATAGTTTTGATTACTTAATTCACCTTAGGTTTTAAGTAAAACATAGTGCCACAGTGAAATTATTTGCTTTCTTTAGGGAACACCCTCCAATCTTTTGAGAATGCAATTTAGTCTCCTTTTCCCTTTGGTCACTTTGATGACAAAGTTTGAGCAATGCAGGAACAAGCACTGAGTTTGGGGTCAGAAGAAATGGATTATGCTTGCCCTCCTCTACTCATAGCTGTGTGACCTTGGGCAAGTCACCTAACTTCTCTGAGCTTCATTTCCTACCTTGATAAAATGAAGAAGTAAAGCTAAAAGCTCTCTTTGGGCTACCTCAGTATAAGTTGTCTTTGCTCTAATTCTAAGCTTAATGGGCTTAATTTAAGGAAAGTTTATAAAGGAGAAGAAATTATTTCAATATAAAATTATGTTTTTCTATTATAAGAGAAAAACATGTTTGCTGTAATAATGCAAACAATGCTAAGCTGCATAAAGGAAAATTTAATAATAATTGTTCAATCTTACCTTCCCACATATACAAAAACAATGTTAATCTGGTGTTTATGCTTCTCTGTATTTTCTATGTTGATACAACTCTAAGTTCACTTAATGAGTTTTATTCTTGTTGTTGTTGTTGAAACGGAATCATACTAAAACATTTCATTGTGTAATCTTCTTTTCATGTAAATCCTTTCAAGATTGGAACATATACTCCTGTTCATTTAACAGAATTAACGTGGACACAATGTGCCATAGCGTGTGTGCTACAGTCAATCAGCTGTTGGTCTGTGGATTGAAATTGGGGGGTTTCGAAGTGTTGCTATCACAACGAGCTGCAGTGAACATCCCTGCACGCATGTTCTTAAACCCTAACGTTCTTATCTGTGACAGACAGAAACTGTCAGATGGTTTTCTAGAAGGTTGCTTTAATTTGCATGATAGTACTTGAGTTTTGAGCAGATCTGAACGTGAGATTTCAAGCAAGTAAAGAAAGGAGATCTTAAGCAATTTCATAATTATTCCAAATATGCATAGAAAACAGAAAGTTGAAAAATAAAATATTAAGTATACTTATAAAGGCTTACGTTTGAAACTGCTGAATCTGAAATCAGATACGTGAGGAGAAGAAATATTTTTCAAAGCAAAACAAAACAGAAACATGATTTTAGCCCCCGGAATGGAATATCAAGAATTAAAAGGCAAAAAAAATTCCTCTCTAAAATCACAGAAATAGGTCATTCATGCAACTCTGTAGACAGGCAGCTGAGCTGACTGGTTATTTAAATTTGGTTCAACAGCAACCTGGAAAAACTGACAGTAACTCGTTCAAGCCCAGTGAGCCCGTTTTCCGGAGCTGCCTCTCTGAGCAGGGAGCTGCAAGCCAGCCCCTCCCAGGCCCCTGCTGCCCGCTGGCTAGGGAGCAGACCCCATCTTCGTGAGAAGGACAGACATTCAGAGCTAGGCTATTCAAAGTCGTCAGGATGACACGGAGGAAGAGTTACTTGTCCTGTCAATGTTTCATTTTGAGGCTGCTCTGAAAGGGAGGAGATTCTTTTATCCAGTAAGACCTGAACCATCAAAACCTCCACAACTCCCTCAGGAGAAAACCACATGGAAACTGTTGCCTATTGTCCAGAACAAGTCAGGGGCCACGAGGAAGCAGGGGAATGGGCGAGGGGACGGGGAGGGCAAAACGTCTACGAGAGCAGAGGCGGAGGGAGGGAGACAGAGACGAGTGACTCCTTGCTACACATCCTGACTCCTGACTCAGGGGAAAAGTAAAGAGCCTTTTGCATCACCTCTGCCCTCTGTGTGCAGGCCTGAGTGTCCATTAAACTTGCATTTCTGGTGGTGAACTGGTCCTTCCTGTCCTTCCCAGTTTTGAGGACGTAGCTAAGGGTTGCATCTGCGATGGGCATGGCACGCCTCTGCACTAACGTGCTCTTCTTTGCAGAGGGGAACAGTGTTACTTATTCATCCTCGTGGTACATGCTGTTTTCTATTCACAGGCACACTTTCTCACTAATCCCGCCACTCTGTTTCCTTGGACTCCGTGGTGACCAGCTGGTCCTGTGTGCAGGCAGCTGGTCGAGGCTGTGGAACAGCTAGTTGGCCAGCAGTGGAAACAAGCTCGTGACCTCCACCTCCTGAACTGAATGCTCCATCATCAGCTGAGCACGGGCTTGGGTACCTCAGAGCTGGGCAGTCAGCGCTCCAGCACTTACTGATTGTGAAAAATCAGGCAGGCTGCATGTCTTCACTCAAACTCAATTTTTCATCCATGAACTGGGAATAATAATTGCTCTCTCATGGTGATTTTGAGAGGATTAAATGAACTGAAATATGTAAAGCATATGCCTCAGTAACTAAATAAATGGACACTCTTTGGCACCCCCAGCAAAAAAAAAGCCAATATGACGCCCTTCCTTCAGATATAATTCTCACGTTTTCTGACCTGGGCCAGGAGGAGAAACAGCTGGCCACACTCTGAGTGTTGAGCAGCAGCAGCAGAAAAGCCTCCTTAAAATCAGTGTGTGCAAATAGGCGTGCAGGTGTTTATGGAAAACCTTGTACAAAATTTAAAGTAATCAGAGAATATCTCCCTTCTATCGCACCCCAGAGAATCCTGAGAACGTCTGTGCTTGGTAAAGCCTAAGTCTGACTCCTGGTTTGAGTCAAAGTTTCAACCTAGCTCTCCATTTCTCGTCTAGCAGTCTACACCGGATAAACTGTTCTTCCTTTTAAGTGATAGATCGCTCTATCCCATTACGTCCCTGTCAGAAACCTGGAGCATGCCCATATGCTTTCGCCGGGTGGTGGATGCTCTGGCCTTCATCTCAATTCCTCTAATCATGTTGAAGTTTCCCATCCTAGGATACATCTCACAAGACTTTCAGGGAATCTAAGAACTTTCTCTGCAGAGATAAAAATAAGGACACTGAGTCATTTCCTGTGTGGTTCTCTGAGTTCCCATATAAAGTTATCTACCGAGAACACCTTGCCTGGTCTAGCAAGTGGGCCTGCTTAATGTGGGTTAATGCTGGGGCCATTACTCACCATTAATTCTCAAGAGCTGAGATCAGGGAGGCAATCACTGAGTTCATCTGTAAAAAAAAATGATTGTAGTCATATTAAGGAATAAAAGGCTCTATGCGTACCAAATGACTGCAGATTACTTCAACAGAGTTGGGAGTATTTCATGGTGATGTTTACTGACCCCAAACTCTGAAAATGCCAGAGGGCAGGCAGTTTCGGGTTCTTAATTGTTTTACCTCTACAAGTGGTCATAGTTTTTCATTTACCACTTTCTTTTTCTAAATCTTTTAGTAGTCTGTCCTACTTTAAATTCCCCACTTGTTTTGATTTTTAAATAGAATTTGTGGTTTGAATTAAACCCTACTTTTTGGAAATCAACTTTATTTGAAAAAGATTTCCCTACAATTTTTTTTTCTACACTGCATTCATTGAGACAGAAAAGAGAAAAGAAGCCACACAGCTATTTGGGAGGTAAGTGCCTCTTTTAGGGAAAGCCTCTTTCTTTGTCTCTTGGGGAGCTTTGGCTGGGGCTGTGCCCTCTGGAGGAAGCCGGACTCTGGAAGCAGTCGTCCAGAACTGTGGGCATTCAGGAGTTATGCTTTAACCTACACCCAGGGCATCCGACCTTCCAGTTTTGTATTTGCCAACTGCAGGGAGAAACTGCTGAAATCTGTGGAGTTGTCATGACAGACGGGGCCATATGGAAAGTGCTGGAAAAATTCCTCCTTAGACTATAATTGCCTTGATGGGCAGAAACACTGTCTTCTATTCAGCTATGAAGTGTGTCTGACCCACAGTGCTTGAGGCACTGTTCAGGGTTTACTGTCCAAGGCCTCAAAGCAAAATTAAAATGGGGCATTGAAAATACTCTGCTTGGCTGAAGGAACCAATTATATTTTATTTCATTTCATTTATAGGGTCATGTTCCTTAATCCCTGAGTACACAAGGCGATGATATGAACAAAAAAAAAACAAAACTAGGAAATAGTTATATGGTTTATTTGTGCTCACACAGATGAAATTGCCTAGTGGATGCGTTGCTCCCTTCTGACGGAGCATCTGGGTGTCCTGGAGAGCACGTGAGCGTGGAAGGCAGCAAGGCTCTGCAGCAGAATGGTTAAGGCTCAGGCTCTGGAGCCAGACTGCCTGGGTTTGAGTTCTGATCCATAATCTTAACACCTCTGTGCCTCAGCTTTCTCATCTATAAATCACTACAATAAATGTACCTAACTCAATAGGTTATTATGAGGATTAAAGAAATTAATATACACATGTTTATAAGTGCTTCAAATAGTGCCTTACCCACAGTAAGCTCTATACACCTCTTAGTTGTAATTATTATTTTAAAGTTTTTTTTATCAATAAGAATCTAGGATTTTGTGCCATTAGCGTGATTCTCCAAAATCAAAAAGTTGATTGCAAATTTAGCAAATTCCCTCTCTCTCTCTCTCCTCTTCCTCCTCCATCCCCTTCCTCTCCCTCTCTCTGTTTCCCCATCCCCTTCATTCTCTTCACCTGCACTCTGGCTTTCCATCCACATTGTGATACTCGGTGTTTCCAGTCTTCCCTCTGTCGTCATGTTTGTAATGGCAGTGACGTGGGCAGAAGTGAGCCGCTGTGGAGGAACGGCAGGGCTGTGCCGACCACATCCCCTTACGGGAAGGCAGGAGCTTCAGTTGTCAGGGGCTCCCACCCCACACCTCCCCCCACGCTTATCCAGAGGAAGGAACATTTTTCTGTGTGGGGGTGGCATTCACGTTGGAAGGGGATGGTTGATGGTGTTATTTTCGTTCCCCACAAATGTGGATGTTTAAAATAGTGCTTTATTCAATCGGCATAAGTGACACATAGACTATGTATAGTGGTGGAAGTGGGCCTGGCAGGGGACGAGGGCCAGACCTCACCAAAACCAAGAGTCGTGGTTCTCCACTGATAGCACCAAGAGATCTGCTCTGAGGATGCCAGCACAGAAGCCCCGTCATGGGTTGCCTGGCAAACTCACTTGCACAAATACTGAATTGTCTGAAATGGATGTACCTCAGAGCCAGTGAACTGGGCTTTTGGCTTCATCTCCATGGGGCATGCCAGCGGGTCACATTTCCTCTCTGAGCCCCGCTCTGAGCCGCACTGCACTCCTGGAGGGTAAGTGCATTCGCTGTTTTCCTGCCTTTTGACTCGGCGCCCTGCAGCTCTGGAATTCAGCCAGTGTAACCGAATCAGGAGGCTGCAGCTCAGGCTATATTTAATTGCAGGTTTATTGTCTTGCCACGCTTTTAGAAGCCTAGGGAGCTTTTCTGAGCTTGATTAGATATTGCAGGCATTTGAAGTAGTGTCAATGTTGACCCCACGTGCTCCTTTTTACTGACCATAGTTAAAAGTTTACGCAAAGCGTTATGGTCTTCAAAAATTGCCCTTCTGCACTTGGAGTCAACACAGGGAGGACCCGAGAAGGGAGTCTTTCTACTTTGAAGCAGACTGCTTCACAGAGCAGAACTTTGGGAAAGAGGGATGGAATGTTTTATTCCTATGAAAAGCGTTATTACCAGAACTCATCTGATTGGAGATGAAAGAGAAAGAAAAGGCACAGATTTTGAGGAAAACATAAAGTTTACCATATGCCCAAGGGAGATTTTGAAATCTCTCTGGATTGTCCTTAATTGATTTGCAATGCAATGCAGAATTTGAATTTTATTTAAGAACAAGGGAAAAAAATGCATTCAATCAGACTTGGAAATGAAAGACGGCAGTGAGCAAAGAATAATTTCGTACTTGCTAGACGTGTCTCTACTAGATTGCAGGGAACATTTGGTTGATTTGAGTTAGAACCCACACGCCTCCTCCACCCCCAGCCTTCTCTTTTCATCTTGAAGCCTCTTCTCTCCACGCTCAAGTGTGGTTTCAGCATGACTAGGGAATAGACACTAAAAATATTTCTGGAATGACGTGACCCACTCTCGCCCCATCCAGGAAAGGGACAAGGCTTCACAAGAAACAGCACATGCTTTCCTTTCATTTCTGGGAGGCTCGGGGTCGACCTACAGATGCTGCTCCTTCCGTGGCCGATGGCGTTCAGACTCCTAGCTGCCGACGGTGCCAGGCAAACAACTGGACAGAACAGCGCAGCCACAGGAAGCTGGCCACAGTCTCGGCCAGAGCAGCAGCCCCCCAGGCACAGACCACCTCTGCCACCCAGTCCAGGAGCCTTCCCACCTCCCTCAGCCTTGCCCCGGCCCCGCCAGAGGGGCTGAAGAACTGGGAGGTGGTGGCAGCAGCGGCAGTAGTGCCTATAGCCTTGGGGCCAGTCCAGGCACGTGGGACCCTGCTTCGGGCAACTCTGCAGCCTCTCCAGGGCCAGGGAGGGACCCAGGACAGCCGCAGAGCTCACCACTGTCTCTTCCTATCGCTGAAACCTAGGCGAGGTCTCAGAATGGAAGCCGCCACTCCTGAGCTGAAACCGCAGGCCAGACTGCGGGAGGTGGGGGACAGGGTGAGCGGAGCTCAAGACAGTCAGGAGCTGAAGCAGCAGCTGCGGCGGCTGCCCAAGCCACCAACCTCCTCCCAGCGAGAAAGGAGACATGCGGAGATGTGCGCTTCAGCTGGAGTCCTGAGTGAGAGTCCCCGGACCATGAGCCTTTCTCCGGAGTGCCGGCCCAGGGATCAGAGGGCCCCTAGGAGTCCCGAGGAGAAAGCACAAGATGAACCCAGTGGTCAAGAGTGCGAGGCTCCAGCCTCCCGGAAGATTCCTGCTTCCTCAGAACTCTCCAGATCCCAGCTCTCCCACACTGAGGAGGGCAGCAACGTCTCTTCTTACTCCTCCTCTTCTTCCCCCGTGGACAAAGCAGAAGAAGGTGGCCTCTTCAAGATGGATGATACCACCACACCAACAGGGGCTCTGGCCACCTCGTCTTCATCTTTAGGCTTTGAGAGTGACAGTGGTGAGAGCGCAGTGAGCTGCCAGCCCAGCGGAGGAGGAGGAGGGGGAGGAAGAGGAGGAGGGGGAGGTGGGGGAGGGGGAGATGCAGCCGAGTGCAGGGACATTATTGCCAAGTCTCAGGGCAGCAGAGACCCCCCGAAAAATGAGGAGGCGCACTACATCACCACCCACGAGATCCAGCTGAGTGAGGTGGAGCAGGACATGGATTTCGACGTGGGACTGGCCTCTCGCTTGGATTTCGAGGACAACAACGTCATCTACTCATTCGTGGACTATGCTTCCTTTGGTGGCAGCGACGAGACCCCGGGGGACGTCACCACCGCGACCGAAGAGGACGACGACAACAGCTGCTACCTCAGCACCACTCCTAGCACCACCGCCACCCGGACACCCAGCCCCACCAGCAGTGACGCCGCCCGCCCCAGAGTAGGCAGCAGTGGTCGCAACACCAGCAGCACGGAAGTGGGCAGCGGTCCCTCCGACAGTGACCCCACTCCCCCGCCCCCCGGGCCTGGCACTGCCACCCCGCGGGAGCCCTTGCCCGAGCCCCCGGACGCAGCTTCAGGGGCAGCCGCCGCCGCAAGCAGCTGTGCGAGCGCGGCCAGCCAGATCCTCCTATCAATCAAGCCGACTTCCCGGGCTATAAATGAGCCTAGCAACGTGCGTGCAAAGCAAAACATTATTCCTGCTGCCAAGCATGAAGGCGACATGAGCCTCCGCGTCTCCACAGCTGCTGAACGCAATTCAAGTTCGCTGAAGCAAGACCCGGCTGCAGCCGTGGCTCAGGACCATGCGAAGAAGTTCATCGCCGTCCCTGCCCGTCTGCAGACCCGGTGCGGAGCCATCCGCGCCAAGGAGCTGGCGGACCACTCCAGCGGGGCCTCCAGCGCCGTGAGCGAGCTGGACGACGCCGACAAGGAGGTGCGCACCCTCACCGCCCGGGCCTTCCGGAGCCTCGCCTACCCCTACTTCGAGGCTCTGAGCATCAGCTCCCGGGAGTCCTCCGCGCTCTCCGAAGTCGGCTTCGGGCGTTGGTCGACCTTCCTGGACTTAAAATGTGGCGGGGTTGGAGCCCGGGTGGAACAGAGCCTCCTCAGGAGCAGTGCGGCCTCGGCGGCCGCAGGCCTGAGGAAGGGAGGTGGGGCCAGGACAGCCGCAGACCAGCTCTACGTCCAGTCCAAGAAGTCCCAGACCAAGGCCCTGGAGTTCGTCGTCAGCAAAGTGGAGGGGGAGATCAAACACGTGGAGACGCCGCTGTGTTTCCAGAAGCAGGTCCAGACGGGCTCCCGCGTGGTCACCCTTCTCGAGCCTCTGAATTTACGCAGTGAGAGCAAAGCCAGCTCAGCCGTGGGGCCCTGCAGGGCCCCCAAAGTCTCCAGCAAGGGCCCCGGATCGGTGTACACAGACGATGGCTCCGAGACGTCAGAGAGCAGCAAGCCTGCCGCCCGCGCTGACGGCCCCCAGAAGAAGTCCAAGTTTGCTTCCAGTCTGCTCAAAAATGTCATCTCCAAGAAAATGCAGCGGGAACACGAGTTCAAAATGGAGAGGGGAGAAGTCACCGACACCTCCCAACATCACCTCTCCAGCACCCCCAAGGAGACAGAGGGCCCGGCTGGGGGGGAGAAGCCGCGGGAGAGGGGCCTGCAGAGGCAGAGTTCCCGCCACTCGGAGGCCGGCTCTGAGTACACGGTGCTCAGCGTGTCAGATGCAGGGGGCGAAGGGTCCGTGGCCGGCTCCAAATCCCCAACTTTCAAAGCCAGTGCACCTCGGGAGAGCAGTACAGGCTCCGGCAGAAATCTCGCTGATGCACACACAGAAGTGTGTGAAATTAAAAAGAGTGCATCCGAGACTGTCAAGGGCATCTTCCTCCGTAGTCAGAACAGCGCATTCCGGTCATGGAAGGAGAAAGAGGCAGAGAAGAGGGAGGAAAAAGCCCCCATCGGGAAGCTAAAACTCCCCAAAGGGGGCGACTGGAGGGCCGATCTCGGGGAGATCTCTGCCAGCAAGTCCACCATCATGTCTCGCCTCTTTGTCCCCAACATCCAGCAGACCCCCAAGGACAAGCAGCCAGGGAAGCAGGCCACCAAGTACCCTGCTGCCCAGGCCACCTCCACGGCGGTGATCAGGCCCAAGGCTCCGGAAATCAAGATCCGGCTAGGGAGCGTGCAGCAGCCAAGCTCCGACTTCAACATTGCCAAGTTGCTCACTCCCAAACTGGCCAGCGGCAGCGCCTCTAACCTCTTCAAGACCATTGAGGACAACAGCAGAACGCAGCAGAAACTCTTCCGGGGGGACAACCTGGAAAAAGTGCCCCAGTTCCAGGTGCGAGATGTCAGAGACAAGTCCAAGGCCCAAGGCCCCCTCCACCAGGTGAGAGACGTCAGGAAACTAATCAAAGGGTCAGGGGACAGCAGTGACAAGGGCAGTGTGACCCCAGAGCAGGGGCTGACTGGGCCCAAAGCCAGGCCGCAGGCTGCTGCAGCGGGCGGGTCGGGATCCCTGTCCCCCATGGTGATTACCTGCCAGGCTGTGGTGAACCAGAGGGAAGACGGCGCAGCCCGCGAGCTGAGGGAGCACCTGGGCAAAGGTGGAAGCAGCAGGGTCTTGGATTCCTCCTCCCCTGAAGGGACAGTCTTGGTTCACAGGGCATCTGGCAGGCTGCCCGTGGCCACCATCGCCCCCAATAAGCCTGAGCAGGGCTCTTACCTGCCTGTGCTCAAAATCGTCTCCAAGGCATCTGCTCAGAAGACCCCAGAGAAGGCCAAGGATGAGGAGGGCAAGGAGGAAGGGAAGGGCCCGAAGCCATCCCGGAACGCCCTGGAGAAGCTGACCGCCGCCGTGAGGTCCATGGAGGAGCTGTACAGCTTCAACAGGAACGAGTGGAAGCGCAAAAGTGACCCCCTGCCCATGATGATCGACAGCCACGTCCTGTCGCTCATTGCCAGTGAGGAGAGGGAAGGAGCCGGGGGTGCCGAGGGGGACCCCAACAAGATGGCCAGACGTCTGGGTGAGGGGGAAGAGCGGGGTGCCGGAAACAAAGGCGGAGTGGTCCTGCGAGGGGCTCCCCTGGAGCGTCTGCAGCGCAGAAACTCCAATCCGAGCTCCGAGAGCGTGTCGGCCCGGGCGGCGGCCTTCGAGAACCTGGCCAGGGAGAGGCCCCGGTCGCTGTACATTCCGCCCGCGCCCAAGGAGGTGGAGAGAACCCCACCCCTGCAGCCCCTCCCCCCACTCCCCAGCAACCGGAACGTGTTCACAGTGAGCGCCAGCAGCACCCAGAAAACTGGGGGTGTCGCCGGAAAGTTCCCCCAAGGACCTTCTCCAGAGAGTCCTTCAGCCGCAAAGGGCCTCAAATCGCAGGGACTCCGGTCCCTCAAGATCTCTCCGGCCACCCGGGCACCTCTCGATGAGGTGACCAACAGCAAAAATGGCAGCAATTTGGAAAAGAGCAACAGTGATTGTGAGAATTACCTGACCATCCCCCTAAAAGGAAGCTCTGCCGCTGGGGAGCTTCCAGGCAGGCCAGGGGCTGGGAGGGAGGGGCCCCCAGTCTCCTCGGCGGCCACTCTCTGCAGCTTGCCCCCGCTGAGTGCCCGAAGTCAGGTCCCCAGTAGCCCCAAAGGCTCTCAGGTCAGTGGAACCAGCCGGCCAGCTTGGCGTACCAAACCCGACAACCTCCGGGAGACGGTAGCTGCCCCCGCGGGGCCACAGAGCCCCGAGCACCCCCCTCCCACCATCTACCACCAGCAGCTGCTGCCCTTCACCCTGCAGGGGGCCCAGCCCCAGGTGCTCTGCTTCTCCCCACCTGGCATGCCTGCCCCCGCACCTGCAGGCCCGGCTCCGGTCCCCACAGACCCCTTCCAGCAACCCCAGCCTCAGCAGACCCAGCGTAAGATGCTCCTGGATGTGACAACTGGCCAGTACTATCTTGTGGACACACCGGTACAGCCTATGACCCGGAGACTCTTTGACCCCGAGACAGGGCAGTATGTGGACGTGCCCATGACCACCCAACAGCAGGCTGTGGCTCCCCTGTCCCTCCCTGTGCCTCCCTTGGCCCTGAGTCCCGGTGCCTATGGACCCACTTACATGATCTACCCTGGGTTTCTGCCCACGGTGCTACCCACCAACGCCCTGCAGCCCACACCAATTGCTCACACTCCAGGAGGCGGTGAGCTCTCTCCCATGGCGGCAGAGCCCCCCAGCAAAGAGGCAGCTGCGACATTCACCGAGGTCCCATACTTCATGGCCTCTGGTCAGGCTCCCGCCTCCTCTTCCTCCTCTGCCCCAGCAGCCACATCCCAGCTGGTGGGGGCCAAGGGCTTCGCCCAGCTGCACGGCAAGCCTGTCATCAGCATCACTTCGCAGCCCTTGGGGCCACGGATCATTGCGCCCCCTTCCTTTGACGGCACCACCATGAGCTTTGTGGTGGAACACCGATGACGAGCAGTCACCAGAAAACAGAGCAGAGTGGAGCAGCTGCTGGTGAGTGAATGTTACTTTGATAATCAGGTTTAAGAGATTAAGAGGAATCCTATTTCTTTGTGTTCGAAGCGGCAGGTTTACAGCAGGGAGGCTGTCTAGAAATGGGGGCTTTGGAAGAATAGAGCAAAACCCCATCAAATTATTAAAGAGCTAATTTTCTTGCCAAGCTTCCTCCTCTCCCACTCCTCAGCCCCCGCTCTGGCCTCTCCCCTTTGACCTTTTCCAACTGCCTGAGTGTTTTTCCCACCCGGAGTGGGAGGGAAGTGCACCTTGATCTGTCAGGTTTGCCTTTGGTGAAGGTTGGCAGGGAAAGAAACGAAAACCTGGTCCGGATTTCATGGGGTGAACTTCACTCTATTCCTGGCAGTGCAGTGACACCAGGCAGAACACCCTGAGAGATCACTGGGGACGCCGTTATCTGGCTGCTCCTCAGAAGGAAGGAGAGTCAAAGACTGACATTTTCTCATCAGGGAGTTTTCTAAAGTCTGCAGAAAGGCTTGTCTTCTGCCACCGCATCTCCCTCTTGGTTTCTTATACAAAGAGACTATATTTTTTAAGGTCTGGTTTTTCTGTTTTCAGACGATCACAAGATCAGAATACTTTTTCGAGTCTTTAAGGTATCCCACGCGCACACACACACACGGCTTCACAGCTACCAGGAGCTGCAGCGGCTCCTCAGATGGGGCTGCTGTGCTTGGTCCAGTCTGTTCAGACTGGATCTACTGCGCTCTGCTCATCCCTCCCAGGCTCCTTTTCAGATCTGCGTTCTCTCCCTGCAGAGAAGAATCGCTCCCACTGCCCCTCTAAGGGAAGTCAGATAAAGTAGATTCCTGACACCTGGTCAACCCAAATTCACAGGCAGGAATCCTTGCTGTAAACACAGTCCATGGAACTTGAGAGGAAGTGCGAGCTTGGCTTGTCTGAACCAGGACACTTCAGGTCAGACGTGTAAGATAGGGGCCACCTTCAGATATGAGTACAAAGGTGTCAGCACTGCGGAGACAAATTTGTCCCCTCATTTTCCTGTTCTCTTCAGATTAGGACGGGCTGACATCATAAATGCTTCTAGGACTTTTACTCCTTGATGAGATCATACTGAAGCAAGAAAGGAGATGGAGAGGAGAGAAACCCTTTCTATGCTTATATGAAAGAAATAAGCCATTTCTCTTTTCTGAACTGAAAAAGAACAGAGGAATGTCGTTTCTTTGTGCAGTGAAGTAGCCTTCAGTTAGGAGGTAGGTCGTGGGATGAGACTGGCGTGTGCTCTTGGGCCTGCAAACTCCCGGCACTCGTGATACTCAGGCGTCAATGAAACTGCTCCTCACAATTTATCTGAATGTCAGATGATAGAACAGGGCATTGCAAGGTATAAAACCTTTTCAAATTAGAGGATTGTTACTGCGTATCACGTTTACTGAACTACAAGGCTGCATTAGGCCACGGTTTAAAACTCCTTGGCTCTTTCTCTAAGAATTCAGGTGAAAGCACAAACCTCATTGTACTTGCAATCTAGAAGTAGACGGCTTGATTCCTTCCTCTCCAAGAGTGTGCACCAGGCGCTGTGTGAGGATCACAAAGAAAGAGGGGATTAGGAAGACTGAGAATGAATAGTGCATCTTTTGTCTGATGTAGAAAACAAAGAAAAATTCAGTACGCATGCAGAAACGACTCAGAATTAGAGAATTCGTTTTGCAGAAGGAAAAGAGTAGCCTCTAGACGAATGCCTTGTAATCTTCTGGCCAGGTGGTCTGTTTACCTGAGACTGTTTCGCAGCAGCTAATCCCGCGAGGCCTTTGCGTGAGCTGTGGAGGCGCAGCAGCCCGGGGAGGGGAGGGCGGGCAGCCCGCGGGCCGGGGCACGGTGCCCTCTCAGCAGCTGCCTCGGGCCTTCCTCCTGTCTGCTGAGTCTGGAGAGATTAGGTCTGGAGCTGCTTCCGTCAGACACAAACATAAATCAGAGTTTTTAGTATTCGAGATTTGAACAGTGATTGTTTTGAAAGTTGTTCCCTTTTTGAGAGTATAGCCTTTATTTTTGTCTACAGCCCTAAAGGGCACAGAAAGACAAAACCTGGCTTCGCGATTTAAGAAGACTAGTCAGAAACTAATGATTAGTTTTTTGTGTACAGGCAAAAATCTAATTATCCTAACTCAGATTACTAACTAAAATCCTTCAAAACTCACCTTCTTGAAAGTTCTCTGCCGTTTTCTAAAGAAAAGCCAGATAAACAAAAGAGTGTAATTTTTTTCCTTGTGTGAAAAAAATTTTAACGCTGTTCAGATACATCAAAAAAATACACTGTACACACTCATTCATCAACTGAGGCTCATACGGGCGGTCGGGTGAGAAGTCTTGGAAGCTGGTTTCAGTTCAAGATTTCCTTTGAAAACTAGACTTATCCCGGAGATTTTCCTTGAGGTAGGATAGGGTTTTACGTGCTCCCTTCTGCTAAGAAGTCCCGTAAATGATTTCATCCAACCACAACATTTCAGAGAGAATACTGGGACTTAGAAACAAACGGTTTTGCTGAGGTCCCCGGGCAGTGAGAGAGCCAGGACCCGTGGACTGGCTCCTGGCTCCTGGGCCACCCCAGGCTCCCTGTGGGCTGCTCTGCGTGTCCCTCAGTAGGAGCCCGGAGCAAAGGAAGGATGGCAGAGGAGCCTAACGAGTTCTAAACCGGTAGCCAGGACACCTGGGAGCTACTCTCTGCCTCTCTGGACATTTGTAACACGAATGTTTGAACGAAATGCGCTAATTCTCTCATTCATTCAACAAACACAAATTACATGTTTACACTCTACCAGCTGTAGTCTACTCCCGTGAGGCTGTAAATGCACATGTGACCTGGTGTTGGCCCACAAGCCAGGAGCCTGCGCCAGCACGAGGACACACCCCAACACACAGAACTGCAAACCCGTCCATCAAGTCCTGTCTTAACCGTTAAGATTCCCTCCGGCTCAAATAATAAATATTTCATCCTGTATTTTCAGCTGTACATTGTGATAGGAAGATTTGCTTCTTCCTCCTGTATATATCTGGGCATAACCAGCTGTTGTTATCTTTCTTTGATTATTCTGTTATGAATTTCCCTTAGTTTTGCTTTCGTAGGTGGGTCTTCCGAGTTCTCTTCTTCCTGTGGTCAGTCTTGCGGTACTCCTCAAATTTTGCCATGTCACGGCTCATCTAAGAAGCTAAGTCGTGATAGTATTTATTTTACTGTCACATAGGAATGACATTGCACGCTGTGGACCATCACAGCCTGGCACCCGGGGCCGGGGATGGATAGCCACGGCAGGAGCCGTTCGCCACACGCCAGTGTGCAGGGAGCCCAGCTGCAAAACCTCACTGCTCTCTCCTTCTTGCCGGGTCTTTTCTGTTTTAGGCCTTTGTGGTTGGTTGATTTTTGTTTTGAAAGTCCCTTCTTCACAGGATCTTAGATGTCTTTTCTGATGAAATTTTTTTGTTTTAGTTTTCTGTCATTTGAGGCACGTAGCTAGATTTTTCCTTCCCCAATGTATTGTCTCATACTTTCTCCTGCTCACCCACTTAGATGCCATTTTATTGTTTTAAAATTTTAATTGAGACTTGATACTAAATGCCATTTACAAGGGCATAAAGATAAAATATGTAATAATAACAAAGGAAAACTTTAATTGGTGCCGTGCCTGCTGCTTAGTGGGTTTTACCAATTGTTTTGTTTCATTTGAATGTCTTTTTTTCCCTGTGGGCCTATCCTTTGGTTCCTTCATTTCTGATCGTGCTTTATATTGCTCCTACATCACTGGTCTTTCTTTTCTCCTTACTTCCTGGGGTTATTTCTCCCCCTGAGTGGAGCCCCGCATGTCAGCAGCTGTAGGGGAAAGAGGCCGGGCCCGGACTCAGGGGCAGTTACCTTTGTAGAGAGTTCCAGGGGGCCCAGCAGGGCCCTTCGATCATCAAACCTTGTCCCCTGTGTTCAAATTGCAGGAGGAGCTTGGGGCTCAGAGAGGTCAAGTAAACCTTCTTAAGTCACAGTGTGCCTTTGGGGCCGAGTTGGACTCAAAACCTGCATTGTTCCAGACCAGAGTGTCTTTTCCGCCCGCTTCTTCCTTATTGCTCTCCAGGCCCCTCTCTGTTTCCCCCCCAGGGCCACTCTGCCTTGGTGGTCCTCCTTCCTGGAGTCTGGCCCGCTCGTTTGCTTCCCTCCTTTCTTCCTGGGCCATTTGCTGGAGAATTCACTTTTTGTTCTTTGCTTTTTTGTTTTTTTTTGCTGTTTTGTTTCTTATTGTGGTTTTACCTTTCCCATTCACTTCAAGTTGATGTAGTTTAATGCCCCATCTTACTTTTTTCCTTCCGCTTTGTCTGTAGTTTGTTTTTGTCACAGACTGGACGGCTTAACCGGCAGGGCCCCTGCCAGCTCCCTCACCTGCACATTCTATGCAGCTTCGTGCACGAGGCCAGGTGGCTGGGCTGCAGACTCCAATTTCATTTTCAGTTCATTCCACAATTGCATTCCTGAATCAGTTCATTTATTTCTATTTTTTTTCCTAGCTTGATTGTGGCTTCCTCTCCCAATTATTATATATAGCTGCTGTTTTCTTTTACTGTCTTCCTGGTGTCATTTTTGCCTTTTCTTTCCTCACTTTCTCTTTTCTTAGATTGTAGCTTTCCTCTGGCTTATTATTTTGTGGCTTTCTCCATAATTTTATTGCCTTTATATTTTCCTCTCTACCCTCTGTAAATTAACAAAAAATGAAAAGTAATAGCTAATGTATATTAATCATTTATTGTGTACCAAGACTTAGCATCATGCCATTTGATTCTTTAAACTAGTAGGTACTAAATTTATTCTTATTTGATGAATGAGAAAATACTTGTCCCAGATCAACAGGTCACCTACAGCCAGGCCCGTTGAGCTCCGGGCCGGTGCTCTTGCACATGACCCCTGTGTGCCCACTTCTCTTGCTCTCTGCCCTCTACGTCTCTGTTCCTTGTTGTGAATTGTTCCTCTTCTCTTGTCTGGAAAAAGGGGGAGGGAACAACCTGAGAAGTTGACCCTAAATCTGACAATGTCTAGCATATACTAAGCCTCTATGTGTGTTTTTCTTTTGATTAAGAAATTAGCTATCCTTAGTCATTAGAACATTGTATGCCCCAAAGAGAGACAGTTTCAGCACTTCTAGCGGCTGTGGCTCCCAGTGGTGGGGAAATTGTGCACGTTGGGAGGGGCTGCTGTGGGTGCCCCCCTGAGAGGGGGATCCCTCCTGGATGGCAGTGGGTTCATGCACTTTAGTTTCAGGGGGGCTGTGTGGCTTTGACTGCAGTCCGAGTATGTGCATCTTGGTGTCAGGCTGCCTCTGCTCAAGTTCGGATACTCTTACTACTCTGGACAAGTGATTTACCCTCTCCAGAGCTGAGTTTTCGCAACTGTAAAACAGGGATACCCTGCAGGAGTGTTGTAAAGATTGAATTATAAGACCATTACAAAGGACATACTACCCAGGACGTGGCAGGTTGTAAGAGTTTAGTCTCCCTGGGAGACTAGAACCTCATACATGCCTCAGGACCCCCTCATCTCAGGCCTTAGCAGGGGCCTTGGCCAGGGCAGAGAATCAGCGCTTGTCCTTGTGAACGTTCAGGCAGCCTCAGGGGCCCAGACCCGGGATTGCTTTGCATTTTCCCAAACTGGAGGCAATGCCCACAGCTCTGCGGCCCCCTTTGAGCTGGCTGATCCCTTGGGGCAGGCCAGCTGGCAGAGGTCAGGGTACTCTAGTATCCCCCAAGGCTTTCCAGAATGTTATACAACACTGTGCATGGCGTGCCAGCTGCCTGTGGTGATTGTCCTCTCTGTCTGGGCACAGGCCTGTGTGGAGCAAGGGAAAATCTGGCCCAGCATCCCTGCTGAACTGTGTTGTGTGTTCTGGTCCTAAAGTCACTGGAAGTTATCCAGGCCACACTGCCGGGTCACACGGCATCTTTACTGACTTCTTCATGATCCTCTGATAGGTTAAACTGGACATTTTTATTATTTTATTCTTAATAGGAATTGGAGTAAAACTTTATTACTTTCAAGATTTCAACCCAAATTCCTCTGCAGTTAATGTGAGCAGAAGCATTATCCTGTGAATGAAGACAAAAGCAATATCTAGAGTCTGGATGCCTAAAAACAATGCCAGTAGCTGGTGTAGTCCAATTTCTCCTCCCGTGCTTGGTCTGCTCTCCCCGTCCTGTCATCCTGTCATGTGCTCTCTCTCTCTCTCTGTCTCCCCTCGGTGTCAGGGAGGGAGTCCTTATGAACCTTGCTTCCTGACTGGTCTCAGCCTGAGCTGTTGTTAAATCCTTGGATTTGCACGGAGATGACTCTTCTTGGTCTTTAATTTTCTTTTCCTCCCCTCGTCATTACATTTTTTCCCCTGTTGCTGCTCTATATGTCCTAAGGTCCAAAAACTTAAATTTGCAGATGAGAAGTTTCCAAGCCTACAACGGTCCCTTTCGTCTAGAAGGTCGTTCCTCAATATAAAATACTAAAGAATAAAATAAACAAACATGAAATATATACATGCGAGCTGTAAAAGCATAATTATTCTCATAGACCTCTTTTTTCTTAAGCATATATTTAACACAGGTCAGTTCCAGGTGGCAGGATTTGAAATCTCCTTGGCCGCACGGATCTGATTGCAGATAATTGATTAGATAGCCATTATTTGATCCTTCTTGGAGGTTATTTTTCACGTGATAGTCTTCTTAATCCCTAACAAACATTACCTGTAGGCCACTCTATTTCTGTCTTCATAATATTATGTTCAAATATCAACTCTCAAATGTTAAAAAAAAGTGTTCTTTAGGCAAAGTTCTAGTAGATATCCTATATAGACAGAGATCAACAGAAAGAAAAGGGCTAATTTTCAGTAAGCTTTTGAACATGTCAATGCTTAAATTACAATGGATTTAGCTAAATCATAGACTCTAACCAGTATATCTCATTTTAGACAAAATGCACTATATGAAATTCAATATAATTTAGGTAGTGATCATTCACTTCACAAGAATTCTCAGTGCAGTGTTCACTCATTTAACTAGATTAATAACTCATGGCAAATTTCTAATCTTTCAATTTAATCTAGGTCTCATTTCATCTTAGGAACGTATCTCTTACCCTATTTTATCCCTGCTGTGGATGATTTCAATGAAACTAAATATTTAACTCTATAATCATTTGTGAATAGTTGATTGTGTTTAGTTCAAGCTAAAGTGAGCTTCCACTGTGATCAGTTTCTTGAGGTCAGTATACCGTCTGGAGATTCAGAAACACGTTTGCCAAACATGTAAGTGTGAAATTCATCATGACTAATATTGAAATTAGTCAAATAGTTAAATAAAATGTATTTTGATGTTTTTCTTGCTTCTTTAAAAGTGAGATTTACTTTTAGAACTGACAATTTTTTCTTTGTTTATTTATAGGAGCAAGAAAGAAAGATGGATGGTTCTGCTTTAATCTGAAAGTTGCATTGTAACAGCGCTAAGAATTCATCTGAAAAACTTCTTCTACATGTGTTACTCTTAGTTTTTGCTTCTTATAAAACAAGTGTGTAAGTTTCTATATTTTCTTGAACAACCCCGTTAAGACAGTTTGTGTTATTTTAGTTTTACTAAGCTGATTGAATGGTTGCATTTTTCCTGTGTAAAACTTTCTTTTTATACTTTAATACGGGATAGAAACTTTCTATTTGTCTTTCCCTCCTGCATTCATGACTAGGCAAACAATCTCTTAAGTGTTCTCATGGTTCAATCAAAACACACGACAGAATGAGCTTGGTTCTGTTGTAAACCAAGCCAGCAAACCAATATTTGGATCACAAATCTCCTTATAGTTTCTTGGAATATATCAGGACTAGTTGGCAGAGTTGTAGCACAAGTCTGCATTTTAAATATGCTGGGTCTGCATTTTGAATCAATACCGGCCAAGCCTAGTCATTCTCTTGGTTATGTTTTAATGTTCTTTTATTTGGTTTAGCATGATTTCAAATGTGGTTGTGAAAAACAGTGATTTTAACTTTTGTGCTTTGCTTAAATTTTCCCATTTGTACAATGCCATGACACTCTTTGTTCCCTTAAAATAGAATGGCTTGAAATACTAGAGAGCCAGCGATTATTACATTTAGAATGAAGTTCTTAGTCTCAGAAAGGTATAAAATATCCATTTCTCTCTAGGAATCCAACCTTTGTTATGTGTGTACGGCATTATTTTTCTTCCTCAATGATTCCCTGCATAGTTGCATACTCCTGCCTCCCAGGCATTGTTTGGAGTGTGAAGAGAGACTTGTTGGGGTGGTAGAGTAGAATGTAAACTCTGATTCAGTGGTTCCGATTCTCTGCAGCCCTAGACACACCAATAGCAGTGACCCAGGATCGCATCACTTGTTCCTTACGGTCTTAAGAGATGTTGAGAATCCAAATCACAGAATCGTTCATCAACATGCAATGCTGCCTCAGTTGTAACCCAGTTCTGAAGGTTATTTTAGTGAGCGTTCACAGTGAGTCTTGAAGAATTGATTGAACGGATAAATATTTAGCTTGTCATCATTAATAGTATGTCAATATATGTTTGACAAATATTACATTGAAATATTTCTTACTTTTTAAAAGAATAACTTGAAGGTTCTCCCAGACTTTCTTTAAGGAATCTGCTCTTATTTATTTATTTGTTCAAAGATAAAGCATTCTGGTAATTTTTTAAAAAGCCTTATTTTGATTTTAATGATCATTAATATTGGTTTCTGCTTAAAATTGCTTCCTGAAGCCAGAGTTTTATGCTGCTTCTTGCTGAGGGTGTGAGTAAAAGCTCTGAGGCTGGTTTGTGTCATCTCATGACTTCGTGGCTGTGCCCCCCATATCATTTAGACTTTTTTTAAGAAAAAGAGCTCAATTTCACTTCCAGGGCTCTCCATAAAGGAATTTTACCCTAAAAAGAAGTTCTGTGGGGTAAAAGGAAAGATTTGAGGTAGAAATACTCAGCTCTGGTCACACGTTGATCAGTCATGGAGCTGGTGAGCTGTGAAATGAAGCGAGAGCCTCTGAGGCATGAATCATGAAATGTGAAATGGCCTCCGTGTACAGAAGAGAGGCCCTCATGCCATATTGGGGAAAGCATCCTTCCCCTGTCATCAAGGTCGTCTTACCCAGCTCCATCAACAGAGTCGCCTCAGAACTTACTTCACCTTTCACCACTGGGGAACTTCTCTTGCAGCGCCAGCCCTTCCTCATGTTCAGTAGAGACTGGCTGGGTATGAGGTCATTCAATATTGAAACAAGAAAGGAGAATCAATTGCGAGGATCTCAAACCTGTAATACTCAGAGCAGCGCCATGAAATCTCAAGTATCTGAACACATTAATATAGGATTTGGGTGGATACTGTCAGAATTAACAAGACTGTTTTAAGACTGCCTGTGACTTTTAGGAAAACCCAGTGGTCATGTTGAGTGTCAACTGCTTGCCAGGTCTTCAAAGAGACATCTCCTTCTCTAGAAAATATGGTAGAGTTCTTACCTATCTGGGGCCTGGGGTCCTCATAAGCTATTTATCATGATTTATCACCAGCAGATCTGAGCCTTAAATTCTCACATTGAGGTAAACTAGGACAGAAATTAGGAAAGAAAGGAGAACTTTTCATTTGTTGGTTTTGTCAGAGAAGCCATGTCCTCTGAGAAGCTGCCAAGGATGTAGTAAATGCTCAAGTGGTTAAAAATAGAGCTTTAAAGTAATAGTCAATGAACGCCATGTCATCTATGGATAATGTAATGGTTCTCTATTTTTCATCAAACCATGAAAAAACAAACCAAAGCTGCTAGGCCATTTACTACCTCAGGTGATAGAGAGGAACGTTTTAAAGACATTAGGTCAATCTAAATGCTCATTTTCAGTTTATCATTTCTTGAGGTTGCATTGATATTTGAATGAAGTGGTTTTCTCCTTCCTTTTTCAACCAAAGTTAAGTGGAATAAAACAAGAGTCTATGAAGCTTTCTGACCCATAAGATTATTACCCTAACAATGTCCCTTTAACTACTGAAATGTCCTTTTATGTTTTATGTACGCAAAACCATTAATAAAGCATGCAGCGTTTCCTAAATAGTGCCTTGAACTTGAAGCTAATTAGAATTGCAGAGTCTGACTTTTCCCTTTTCCTCTCAGGTTTACATGTTTGACTCAGTTTTCCGGAGAAACCACAGGGCATTGTGTTTAGAAATCTTGACCAATTTCCTCTTTTCACTGTTGGCTAAATGATCAGGTTGAAATAGGCTCCATTTGAATTGTTTTTGGAAAACTGAGCACATTTGTAACCATTATGAAAATCTAATTCACCAGAATGTATTCTCTTCAAAGCACTCACTGAAATTGCCCTCAGGATGAAATGAAGCCCAGTTACCCAGTTAGTGACTTAACATATAGGCTCTCCGTATGTCTGTATATGTCTGTGTGTATATGGCTCTCTATATATCATTGAGTAAATAAGCTAAAACAAATTACACTTTGACATCTTTATGATAAATCTCAAATGTTAATGCACGTTTCAAATTCATCCTTATATCACTATGAAATATCTAGTAATATAAATTTCTTTCTTAATTTCATATTTGACTTTATTATCCTTGCCATTAATGACTTAATGCGTTTTAATTATTTTCGTACTCCATGTGTTTGCTACAAATTGAATGCTCATGCTACCTGAAATAATACTTTGGACTGCAGGACAGTATTGATTCCTAAGTAGATGAACTATAATCTCATGAGAATTATATAGATATATAGAGATAATCTATATCTCTCTCTATATATGTGCATGAGAAAATACATTCAGTACTAGTCTCTGTGTTGAAAACTATCACGGTATACGTTTTCCTATGTGGTGCTTGAGGAGTTTCATTTTACAGTTTACGAGGTGTAGGTTTGCACCCCAAATTCTCAGGGTATACTATTTTACCCAAATACTTGAAAGAAGAAGGTGCCCTGTATTTTATCAGTACTGTTGAGGGAAAAAATTATGTGTAGGTTTGTTTTAGAAAACTACTTATACAAATCAAATTCATAAAATCTGTTAGGCTTTTACGTAATTCCTAAGGAGATATACATATAGATATGATATATATTTTCAAGAGACTGTTTCTATATTATTAACTAACTTCTGGGTCCTAAGTAGACCTCACAGGTGCATAAAATCATTAATGAAGCATGTAGCATTGCTAAATTGTACCTTGAGCTTGAATCTAATCAGGATTGCAGATTCTGGTCCTCTGGACAAAGTCATGTCCATTCGTGGCAGGTGCGATCACAAGGCCCAGGGGAGGATTCTGAAAATTGGACTTATTTGTACACCCCGTGTGTCAGAAGAGACTGGGTGTTTACAGCAGTATTTGTAAGCTGTTAACAGTCTTGTCTCATGTTGCAACTAGAGCATATTATTAGATTTATTCCTATGTAATTCATAATGGTGCAGAATAAAACACACACAGAACACATCTAATTTGATTTCTTTTTTTAAGTTTCATAATTGCTTTTTATAAGCTAGCGCTAATGGCTAAAAGTCCTTTCCAGTGCTCTCTGAAATTACCTGTGATACCTGTGTCTATATTATAGCAGGTGCTTCTTTCTCCCCGCCGCTTTGAAGTTGTAGGTTTCTATATTTACATTTAAATCATATTATTGTATAGAAAAGACAGTGGTGGTTGAAAAGAATGTGAAGACTGAGCAAGTTATGTCCCAAACAGAGGAGCGTAAATTGTGTGGGAAATGAAGAAAGACATTGGATAATGCTGACTTATACACCTGGCTGTGGAAAACGCCAGTGGTAAATAGAAAGAAGGTGAAAAATTAAACTGCTCTCAAGACGAGAAATCTCGGTGGAAGAGCCCCTACCTGAGGTTTGGTGTGACTCAGTGATAGAATGCAGTGAGCTTGGCCAATGGGACTGTGAACCCAGCCCAGCAGCTCTGAGAATTCCGTTCTCAGTGTGTTGCGGATGGAGAAAACGACTTAGACAAGGACTATGAGACTAGCCTGCTTACCTTTCATTGCCAGCATTTGTCAGTGATTGTGCAATCTTGTGTAATGGTCTTCTATTTTGACTCCTTTGAAAAAAAAGTGTTTTGTTGTTGTTGTTTTTTCCAGTAAAAGTAACTGCAAAGAAAACATGCATTGTTTGTTTTTATTTTAACTGAAAAAATAAGCTTTGGACATTTTCATTTTCTTCTGTCTTCTAACTTCAATCCTTCATTTAACTAAAATACTTTATCATAATTTCTCATATCCAGGTTGTGTTAGTTTTCTATTGCTGCGGTAACTGCAAATTTAGTGACTTAAGATGACACAAATTTATTATCTTACAGTCCCAGAGGTCAGAAGTCTGGTATGGGTCTTTCCCTGTACGCAGAATATTCACCTAACCAACTCAAGGAATCTAACTGCTTGCGTCATTAAGTAGCATTGTGAGGAGCATCTACCAAGGTTGTGATGCTCTACTGACACCAGAGAGCAACCCAGACAACAAGTGTCCCCGAAGGCCCACACTGAGGCCCGGGAAAGTAGTTGTGGTTATCCCCTTCAAAACCAGAATATAAGAGGCAGACAATTTGGAGACTTACTGCACAATGAGGATATCCCAATGCTGTAACATGTCCCTTAAGTCAATCACCAGTCAACTGAAGTCACTATAAACCTTCAGATTGAAGCCCAAAAAGGACTTGCACCCACATTTCATGAAGAGGGACATCCACGGTTCCTGACATATGCCCAGGGGTTGTGGGTTTTACGGGGAAGAAGAATATTGAAGGCAGTTCCAGGCCTTATATTTCCCTGGGTCACCCCTGGCTTCCAGCTCTTGTTTCCAGTGAATTCTCAGACTCCATTTTCCATCTTGCCTCAAGTGTGCACTGTTTTACTCTGCATTGCATTACCCCACCGGGCTTCATTGCAGTGCACCCGTCCAATCCTGAGTATTCCAGACTCAACGCTGTATGTGTGGATTTTGCTGAAGGTTTAGGGTGCATGGATGGAGATTGTCAGGTCCTCCATCTTAAGACAGCCAGCTGCATTAGCAAACACTTTAAACCTGAAACACTGACCTACCTGTTCTTAAATAGCCGCATGCCATCTCTGGCACTAGATAATTTTCACTGGTTGTTGAGTTCATTTGTGCTTCAGCCAACTCCCACCTTATTGCCAGATCCTCTCCCTCTCTTCATCCTCTGCTTCCTCTGCTCCTTAGCTTGCTGGCTCAGAATCTTCTAATTTCCTGTTATTTCTTAGAGGTGGTAAATAGAACAATTTAACCACCTAATGAAGCCCTACTAATGCAGACCCACTGTACTATGTCCAGAATACGTCATCTTCATAACCAAATAGACCCATTGTTCTAGTTACGTATAGCTGAGTAACAATCCACCCCAAAACTTAGTGGCTTAAAAAACACAAAAATCATTTGTTTAGCTCATTAATCTGCAATCTGGGCAAGGCTCAGCATGGGAGGTTCAGCTCTGCTTCACACAGGAGACTGGGGAATCTGCTTCCAGGATGGCTCACTCACGTAACTGGAAAACTGATGCTGGCTGTCAGCTGGGAGTTCAGCTGGGGCCAACCAGGGGCTTCAGTTCCTCTTCTGCTGGGCCTCTCCATGGGCCGCTTGGGCTTCCTCAAAACATGGTGGCTGGGTTCCAACAATGAGTATCTCAAAAGGCAGGAAGAAGATGCTGCCAGTTTCTTAAGGCCTAATTCAGAAAGTGACACAGCATCACTTTCACTGTACCCTATTTGACAAGCCATCACAGAACCCAGATTCAATGGGCAGGAACTCAGATCCCACCTCTCAACGGCAAGAGTGTCAAACAATTTGGGGACATGTTTTAAGACCACCAGCCTCATTAAGGGATGTTTTTAAACAGATATTTTTGTTTAAAGGAAATTCTAAAGTCAATTCTTACATTAGTCTAGGCCCAGTTAAAGATTCTAGAAAGATCTAGAATGAGGTAGTCTATACAAGTTTTGGTGGGCATGCTTTTTTGTGTGTTGGGCATATATTGGAGTCTCACAAAGCAGAAATCACTGTTGTATTTCCAGTGTAGAGGGAAGCAATGTTCTTTAGGAATGAATGAATGCCTGCTATATGCCAGGTGCTCTGATTCATGAAGAGGTTAGGGTTTCAGGAAGCCTTTAAATATGGTGAGAATGCCTGATATGCTGATGAAGCCATTTAGTCTAAGCCTTGTCAAAGGCATGGAGATTGGAAGAGGAAACTGGCTAACAGCCACAGAGAAGAGATCCATGCCAATGACCCAGCATGCGGCAGGCAGGGAGAAAAGAGGGCTAGGTGTGAAGAGAACAGGAAAACCAGAGCAATAACAGGAGAGGAAAGTGAAGAAGCTGTTCGGCTGTGCAGAGGGTAGGGAGCTACTGAAGGGCAGCAAGGGGAGGGGCACAGGGAGAAGCAGCATGGCCAGAGCCCTCTGATAGGAATCTCACCCAGCAGAGGAGGGAGGAAAAGAGAGTCATCGAAGACACCGCAAAAACGAAAATTGTTTTTTCCACCCCTTAGGTTACAACCTGATCAACAGATTGTCCCTTGAGTGCAGTCTCCCCTGAAGGCTTATATACCTTCAGTACTACTGGGTAGAGAGTAAGAATAGGTTTCATTATATACATATCTATAGACACAAAAACACACTAGATGGAGTATTGCAGAATAACATTATCATGTTGTATATTATTATAATGTGTGAATTGTAAAGAGATAATATAAATTACCTCTAGCCTGTAGTTAGCATTCAGGAAATGCTAAGCACTACAAAATACCTCTCTATTATAGCATTTCTGCTTCTGAAAAATTCAAATTCACTGCTACACACATTGCTTAAAAATACTCAAACTGGGGCCAGCCTGGTGGCACAGTGATTAAGTTCATGTGCTGTGCTTCTGTGGCCCAGGGTTAGCTGATTCTGATCCCAGGTGCAGACCTATGCTACTCATCAGTCATGCTGTGGCAGCATCCTACATACAAAATAGAGGAAGATTGGCACAGATGTTAGCTCAGGGCCAATCTTCCTTACCAAAAAAAAAAAAAAAAATCTTCTATTTATAAAAATAATGCTTGTTCTTTGGAGGAAATTTAGAAAATATTAAAATATTCTAAAAACTGGGAAGTAGGGAAAATTCTTATTCACGCAAAGGGAACTACTACACAAATCGCCTCTAGAAATAAATACCTGTAAGTGTATTTTATACTTACATGCTATTTTGTAGTCGATTTTCGTGAAGAATATCATCAGGTTTCTGATTGGGATTCATTGAATCTGTAGATTACTTTAGGTAACATGGGCATTTTAACTGTTTATTCTTCTAATTCATGAGCATGGAATAGCTTTCCATTTCTTTATGTCATCTTCAATTTCTTTTAATCATGTCTTACAGTTTTCACTGTATAGTGCTTTCACCTCCTTCGTTAAGTTTATTCCTAGATATTTTGTTCTTTTTGTTGCAATTGTAAATTGGATTGTATTCTTGATTACTTTTTCTGCTATTTCATTATTAGTATATAGAAATGCAACGAATTTTGTAAGTTGATTTTGTAATCTACAACTTTCTGTAGTTGCTATTATTTCTAGCAGTTTTCTGGTGGATTCTTTAGGGTTTTCTACATATAGAATCATGTTTTCTGCAAACAGCGAGAGTTTCACTTCTTCCTTTCCAGTTTGGATTCCTTTTATTTCTTTTCCTTGCCTAATTGCTCTGGACAAAACTTCCAGTACTGTGTTGAATAGGAGTGGCCAGGGTGGGCACACTTGTCTTGTTCCTGTTCTCAGAGGGATGGCTTTCAGTTTTTCACAGATGAGTGTGATGTTGTCTGTGGGTTTGTCATAGATGGCCTTTATTATGTTGAGATACTTTCCTTCTATACCTATTTGATTGAGAGTTTTTCTCATAAATGGATGTGAGATCTTGTCAAATGCTTTCTGCGCATCTATTGAGATGATCATGTGATTTTTATTCTTCATTTTGTTAATGTGGGGTATCATATTGATTAGTTTTGAAAATGTTGACCCATCATTGAGTCCCTGGAGTAAATCCCACTTGATCATGTTGTATGATCCTTTTAATGTATTGCTGTATTCAATTTACTAATATTTTGTTGAGAATTTTTGCATCTATGTTCATCAGCAATATCGGCCTGTAATTTTCCTTTTTTGTGTTGTCTTTATTTGGTTTTGGTATCAGGGTAATGTGGGCCTTGTAGAATGTGTTACAAAGAGTTCCATCTTTTTCAGTATTTCGGAATAGTTTGAGAAGGATGGGTATTAAATCTTCTTTGAATGTTTGGTAGAATTCGCCAGAGATGCCATCTGTTCCTGGACTTTTGTTTTTTGGGAGGTTTTTGATTACTGTTTCAATCTCTTTACTAGTGATTGGTCTATTCATATTCTCTATTTCTTCTTGATTCAGTTTTGGGAGGTTGAATTTATTCATTTCTTCTAGTTTATCCAATTTGTTGGCATATAGTGTCTCATAGTATTCTTTTACAATCCTTTGTATTTCTGTGACATCTGTTATAATTTCTCCTCTTTAATTTCTAATTTTATTTATTTGAATTTTCTCTTTTATTCTTAGTGAATCTGGCTAAGGGTTTACCAATTTTGTTTATCTTCTCAAAGAACTAGCTCTTAGTTTCATTGATCCTTTCTACTATTTCTTTAGTCTCTATTTCATTTATTTCTGCTCTGATTTTTATTATTTTCCCCCCATTTCCTGAGTTTTGGCTTTATTTATTCTTCTTTTTCTAGTTCTTTTAGGTGTAAGTTAGGATTACTTATTTGAGATTTTTCTAGTTTGTTGCGATAGGCCTGTACCGGTATAAATTTCCCTCTTAGTACTGCTTTTCCTGCAACGCATAAGTGTTGGTATGTTGTGTTTTCATTCTCACTTGTCTCCAGGTATTTTCTAATTCTCCTTTGATTTCTTCATTGGTCCAATTGTTGTTCAGTAGAATGGTGTTTAGTCTCCATGTATTTGTGACTTTCTCAGCTTTTTTGTTGTGGTTGATTTCTAGTTTCATAGTATTGTGGTCAGAAAAGATGCTTGATATGATTTCAATCTTCTTAAATTTATTGAGGCTTACCCTGTTTCCCAACATTTGGTCTATCTTT